CACGAGTGGTGGTGCTGGGGAGAGCAGATGAGGTACAATGTCTTAATGCAGTTGGGGTTTTTTTGTTGTTATGGGTGTGTTCTCCTCCCGTAACGAGTCCTTCACTGTTACTCGAGTTTGCCTGGGAGCCTTTAGCTTCTGTCACTTACTGTCACTGTAGGGAGTCGTGCCCAGCTGAGCCTGGATATTTTGTCTGGAGATAAGAACGTGTGCCTCTAGAGTTTTCTCTGTGTGACAGACTGCTTGTGTCTGACGAGAGGCTTACGCTGGAGTCCGTTCACTGCAACTGCTGGAGGAAGTCTCTGTTAAAGGGTTTGATGAGATGAATTCACATCAGCGTTTCTCCTTTCTTACCTTTATTGATCTTTCCAGTAGGAAACTTCACCCTGTGTTACGAAGTGCCTTTGTTTCAGTTGCAGAAGCAGACAGCTCTCAAATTAGTTGTGTTGACTGGGGGATGCTGTATTAGCTGCTGAATTTAGTGTAGTCTCTAAACAGTACGTCTTCAGTTCTGGATGGAATGTATCTGCCTTGGGGATGAACCATGTAACGTGAAAGCTGAAGCTCAGTCTCACAAGGTGGATTGTGTTACAGAAGCTTGTTCTTTTTTTTGTTACCAAGGAGAGATTTGGTTGTTTGTAATGGAGAGCTAATCCTTTGCTCAGTTTGAAACTATTAGTTTTAGCAGTTTCAATATTGTGGGGCTGGCACCTTCTATTTCATTACAACATCTTTAAAACTGCCATATGCATAAATTGGTTTTAGAGGTGGTCTGTGTACTATGTTTTATCCTTGGGTCATGTATGTTTTCTTACATGTTACCACATAGGCACGTGATAACACTTTCCCAGCACATTTTACAACTGTGTGTTTATGAAATTGTTCTTTGTGTTTCATGGATGATAAAAAAATATAAGACTTTAAACTTGGCTATTTTCAGTCTTTTTGAATCTACCTTTCTGGCTGAACAACACAGCACCATCAGTAAGTTGCTGAATTGAAACCTTTCATTAGAGAATGGAGAGCGATAAACTCTTCTCTGTGAACACTATTAGCAACTCTTTCTGTCTTCAAGTTCACGTTTGACATTTGATGGTCAGTCTTCTCAAACTCAGTGCCTGACCGGAGCTGTTTTTCCTTTAAACTCAAGTAGCTTAAACTGATTATTTTGAGAAAAGGGAGCCTCAAATCTTGAAGATTGGGAGCATCTCTTATGGGACAAGATTTTACATGCAGAATTTGTATTTTAAGGTTTGGCAACCTGTTCACACTTTTAGCAAATGTTTGTTTGAAAATGCTTATAGGAGAAGATGAGGAAAAATCTGTAGTGAAGATACATTTCCCATGACAGAAAGAAGTAATACCAAGGCTGAATGTCTCGTTGTAGACTACTGAATGCTGTTAAAGCTTTTTGTCTAGGGAAGTAAATTTCTTTGGGATAAGAATATTTACAAATGGAACTGTGGAAGTGAAGGAGCTATGGGGTTTTGTGAGGTTGGGGTTTTTTGGTGATTAATTGGAGCAATCTGCAGGGCACTAAATTAATAATACAAGGTCAGGATGCCAGGAAGGTGAGGATTTAGCATCACCTTTTTGTAAGTGCCATAAGACTTGAAACAGTGTGACAAACAGGAATAAACTAAACTTGTATTAGTGCAAGATGCTTAGGTAATATGCAAGGTGAGCAAAAAATTCTCTCTGACAGATTTTAGTGTTTCTAAATGCTGATAGAGCATATCGCCTAACTAGAAAAATTACTGAATATTTCTGTGGGAAGGACAGTACAGAATTAGGTATTTTACCTGTTCTGGACTTGAGGAGATAGAGAAGAGGGTCGGTTAGCGGATTTTTTGAAAATGTTACACAGCCAGCTGTAGACTCACTGGGGATTTTATTAAATGATAAATCAACATAAACACTATTGGTCCCAACAAAATACTGCCTGAGGGCCAAGTGCA